AACTTAACGAGAGGTCGAAAAAACGTGCGGAGTTTGTTCACGGAGTTTCACCATCACGACCCGTGACACCTGTGCAGCGAGCCCAATCACCCAGTTTTCTATCAACCTTTGCAGACCACGAGATATCCATATCCACTCCAGGAGTCGACAAAGATGACCACCGTAGATTGGGACCTGCCAGCCAGCTTCTTTAGTATCCAGATACATCACCTAGCTAAACCCTCACACAGGTTGCTAAAGACAGAGTTTACCACCAACTTAATGAGTTGAGCTTAGTCAAGAATTGACACTACAGTACTCGGGCATTCCAATGCATGCTTCGTCCTCATCTTCAGCAGCCAGGGCAGAGTTCCAGTACTGTTGGTACCGATCTGTTTAAATGTCTGTCTTGCCTTTTCGCTGAGTTTAGTGAGTCAGTCAGACCCCCTGGTACATCCAGGTGCCTCATTCTCTCCAGGCCATAATAATCTTGTTTCTCTACTGATTCCGTTGTCTCTGCTCGCCGTATTGAGTATTCTTATTTTACATAATTTGTTGTCTAGAATATTTCACTGTATCTCATAGAGAAGAGATAATATATTGGCATCCCCTTGTGGGTTTCATGGCCCCTCTGTGGGGAAAACAGGAACAGACCCCCTACCTACCAAGCAAGCATGTCGTAAGAGTCGACTAATTGGAAGCTACCTACAAAATCGGAGTTACTCTGTCTAAGAGGCAATTTCAAGGTCAATTTAAGGCGCTGCAGGCGCCTGTGTATAGGTAAGAAGTACTGTTGGGGTGGAAGGGGGGGGGCGCCGCAGGCGCGATGATTCTTGAGTATCGAAACTGAGATGTTTTTGTATTTCTACGTTCTTTGGCAGTGTCTCTCTCCCCCCCCCCCCCCCCCCCCCCCCCCCCCCCCCCCAGAAAAAGAAACCACTTACAAGGAACGTAGGAGTAAAAACATATCGCTGTTTTCATAGTCCCGAACCGTAAAACAGTAGCAGAACATGAAAATCCCCGTGTGGGTTCCGGGGCCCTTTCATTAGAAAAACAAAAATAGACCCCCACTGCCTACCCAAAAGGCATGTCGTAAGAGTCGACTCATTGGGAGCATCCTTCAAAGTCAAAGTGCATCTTTTGCTTCTAAAATAAGCCTTAACAGTAGTCGCAGTAGTATCAAAAGTGGCAGTAGAATGTGCGCATATATATATATAAGGATATATAATATATATATATATATATATATAATATAATAGGGCTGTTCTGAATAGTGATTTTCACTATTCGGCCGAATAATAGCGGGGACCAACTATTGGGCCGAATACGAATACAAATAGTGTTCATCATCATCAGGTGACTGGCATTGGCGATTTTGCCACGCCATAATCTGTGATCTCCTGCAGCATGTATCAGTTTGTGTGATGACACACATGCTCTCTCTCTCTCTCTCTCTCTCTCTCTCACACAAAAAAACGTGCGGAGGTTTGTTTCACGGAGTTTCACATCACGACCCGTGACACCTGTGCAGCGAGCCCAATCACCCAGTTTTTCTATCACCCTTTGCAGACCACGAGATATCCCATATCCACTCCAGGAGTCGACAAAGATGACCACCGTAGATTGGGACCTGCCAGCCAGCTTCTTTAGTATCCAGATACATCACCTAGCTAAACCCTCACACAGGTTGCTAAAGACAGAGTTTACCACCACTCTTTAATGAGTTTGAGCTTAGTCAAGAATTGACACTACAGTACTCGGGCATTCCAATGCATGCTTCGTCCTCATCTTCAGCAGCCAGGGCAGAGTTCCAGTACTGTTGTACCCGATCTGTTTAAAATGTCTGTCTTGCCTTTTCGCTGAGTTTAGTGAGTCAGTCAGACCCCCTGGTACATCCAGGTGCCTCATTCTCTCCAGGCCATAATAATCTTGTTTCTCTACTGATTCCGTTGTCTCTGCTCGCCGTATTGAGTATTCTTATTTTACATAATTTGTTGTCTAGAATATTTCACTGTATCTCATAGAGAAGAGATAATATATTGGCATCCCCTTGTGGGTTTCATGGCCCCTCTGTGGGGAAAACAGGAACAGACCCCCTACCTACCAAGCAAGCATGTCGTAAGAGTCGACTAATTGGAAGCTACCTACAAAATCGGAGTTACTCTGTCTAAGAGTCAATTTCAAGGTCAATTTAAGGCGCTGCAGGCGCCTGTGTATAGGTAAGAAGTACTGTTGGGGTGGAAGGGGGGGGGGGGGCGCCGCAGGCGCGATGATTCTTGAGTATCGAAACTGAGATGTTTTTGTATTTCTACGTTCTTTGGCAGTGTCTCTCTCCCCCCCCCCCCCCCCCCCCCCCCCCCCCCCCTCCCCCCCCCCCCCCCCCCCCCCCCCCCCCCCACCCCCCCCCCCCCCCTCAGAAAAAGAAACCACTTACAAGGAACGTAGGAGTAAAAACATATCGCTGTTTTCATAGTCCCGAACCGTAAACAGGTAGCAGAACATGAAAATCCCCGTGTGGGTTCCGGGGCCCTTTCATTAGAAAAACGAGAATAGACCCACTGCCTACCCAAAAGCATGTCGTAAGAGTCGACTCATTGGGAGCATCCTTCAAAGTCAAAGTGCATCTTTTGCTTCTAAAATAAGCCTTAACAGTAGTCGCAGTAGTATCAAAAGTGGCAGTAGAATGTGCGCATATATATATATATATATATATATATATATATATATATATATATATATATAGATATATTATATATATATATATATATATATATAATATATATATATATAATAGGGCTGTTCTGAATAGTGATTTTCACTATTCGGCCGAATAAATAGCGGGACCAACTATTGGGCCGAATACGAATACAAATAGTGTATCATCATCATCAGGTGACTGGCATTGGCGATTTTGCCACGCCATAATCTGTGATCTCCTGCAGCATGTATCAGTTTGTGTGATGACACACATGCTCTCTCTCTCTCTCTCTCTCTCTCTCACACACACACACACACACATACACACACTCACACAAGCAACAACAAAAAACGCATTGCTTACTTGACGAAGCTAACAGTTACTATTGTACAGACCACATTTTCCACTTTAAAATTTGAACCAAAATGTAATCACAACCTTACTTATCTGCTGCACCTTCACGAATACAGATGGAGGATCGGCCGCATGCCGAGATAAATACAAAGACAATTCTTAGCACGCTGCGGTTGGCAATTTTTGCAGTATGATACACTTTGAGTGTGAAACAAGAAAAAAAAACTTTTTTCGACAGTGGCGAGGAAATACAATTTAAATTTTAAGTATCTTAATGCCAGCTTTAATAATGTCACAATTTATAGTCGACATTTCTTGATTTTCGCCACGGCACCCCTGGCATACCCACCCAGTTTGAGAACCTCTGCTATAATGCCTAGGTCGAGTCAGAAGGCAAAGACCTTGCCAGCTGCTGTACCACGCAACCGGGTCGTATTGTTTCCCCCGCTACGACAGACTTAGGCAACAGCAACTATTATGTTAATAAGAGAGTTATTTCAGTCAATCGCGGTGTGGGTGCAGAAATCCCTATTCGTATTCAGCCCGACCGCCACTATTCGGCTGAATAGCTATTAGGTCCACTATTTGGCCCCGAAGCGAATATTTGGTACAGCCCTAGTTTATACATCTCATATTACATATTTATTCAGCCTATAATAGTAATAACAAAAGGAGCCAACATGACATCCATCCAGCAAACCGTCAACATGACATCCACCCAGCAAGCCGACAACATGACATCCACCCAGAAAGCCATCATCCTGACATCCACCCAGCAAGCCGTCAACATGACATCCACCCAGCAAGCCGTCAACATGACATCCACCCAGCAAGCCGTCAACATGACATCCACCCAGTAAGCCGTCAACATGACATCCACCCAGCAAGCCGTCAACATGACATCCATCCAGCAAGCCGTCAACATGACATCCACCCAGCAAGCCGTCAACATGACATCCACCCAGCAAGCCGTCAACATGACATCCATCCAGCAAGCCATCAACATGCCATGCATCCAGCAAACCGTCAACATGACATCCACCCAGCAAGCCGTCAACATGACATCCACCCAGCAAGCCGTCATCCTGACATCCACCCAGCAAGCCGTCAACACGACATCCACCCAGCAAGCCATCAACATGACATCCATCCAGCAAGCCATCAACATGACATCCACCCAGCAAGCCATCAACATGACATCCATCCAGCAAGCCATCAACATGACATCCATCCAGCAAGCCATCAACATGACGTCCACCCAGCAAGCCGTCAACATGACATCCATCCAGCAAGCCATAAACATGACATCCACCCAGCAAGCCGTAACACTGTGCACTCAGACAAAACTTACAACCCTTCATCCCTCCCCTGCTGGCTTAAATGCCAACTTGAACAACAACACACAGAAATATGGCCATGTTCAACCAGCTATTGAGGAGCTTGTGGTTATAACTGTGGTATGGTTTTCTTGTCTTAAGTTTAAGCGCTGAGATCTGTGTTTTATGTTGTCCAACTCTGCATGTCTAGGTCTTTTATGGTGGTCTGGATGGTTTTTTACTTCCTTGTTTTGTTTGTTGTTTTCCTCATTATGCCTCCTCTTGTTTCCCACACACTTGTGTCGTTTATTTCAAGTCTTGTTCCTTTTATATCCTATTAAATGGTTTGGACAGCTGTTGCTTGCTTTTTAGAAAATTATAAAGAGGTTACCCCCCCACCTGATATGTTATGGTGGGCCCCTGCCTTCAACAGGCTATAAATGACCTTAGTCATTGCTTATACAGATACACCAGTAACAGAGCCAGAGGTTGACCACGTAGAAGATGGACCGCAGGAATATCAGAAAGACATTAAAAAGTACTTTTTACAAAGAGAAGGGCCCATTCCGGAGATCTCTTCCTGCCCTGACACCGCGAGGCATTCCAAGAGTACAGACAGAAGAAGAAGAAGTCACACAAAAGAAGACTAAACATCAATCATCGTCTTCATCACTCACAATTATAGGACCATGTTTCTTTGGTGGATCCTGTTGAAGCACTAAAGCGTCTACTTCATTTCCTGTTTGTATTTCACTGAAAGACTGCTTCATTCGTTTCCTATCACTGTCTTGGTCTTCTGCGTCGTCAGAGTCACTTTCAGGAAAATATGAATATGCTTTCTTTTTTCTCTTCTCCGGTCGTCTATCAGAGTTCAAAGATGAGATTGCTGACACTGATTTCTCAAATTTCTTGGCAGAATGAACTCTCTCCGCTGTTCTTCTTGCTTTCTTTGGTATCTGTTTGAAATTCCCTTCATCAGAATCACCAAAATTTAAATCACAATTGTCAATAATACTCAGACCATTAAATTTGTCATCCGTTTGTTTGTTGGTTGCTGTTTTGCTATTGGGATATGTGGAACTCTTTTTCAGGACACAGTTCTGTTTTGTGTTGTCTTTGTTGTGTGATGCTTGATCAGACACAGAAGAGGTGGAATCATTCAAGAATGACTTATCTTTGTTCACAATGACTAGCTTGGGCTTCTCTTTAGTACTGGCCCCTTTGGATGCCGAGGATGGGGTTCTCTTGCTGACTGATAATGCTGAAGAATCACCAGATATCAATGGTTTCGTGGCAGATGGTGAGCTCACAGCTGAACTGTTATTTGGAACATCTACTGAAGCCTTTTTTGCAGTTTTAACTTGAAAGTCCATGAGGATTTTAGCTGAGTTGTTCTGCAGTAGCTTTGCCTTTGAACCTAGTAAAGAAATGAAACAATGATACAACCATGAAATATCCAGAAGTCGAGACCCAGGTTTGAATAATCTGTATCCATGCGTGCGTTCTGGGGCTCCATTCTGGAGAACAGAGAATGGAATAGACCAAAGCTTCCCCAGCAAGCAGGAGGTGACTAATTAGGCAGGTTTCCCTCAAAGTGGGAGTGCATCTGTCGGAGAGGTAAGGAACCAACTGCCTGCATAAGAATAAGCCAGATTTGTATGTAGAACTTTCAGCCAGAGTTTATAGCCAGAGATGTAAGGAACCAACTGCCTGCATTCAAATAAGCCAGATCTGTAGAGCTTTCAGCCAGAATTTATAGCTGGAGATGTGAAGAACCAACTGTCTGCATTCAAATAAGCCAGATCTGTAGAGCTTTCAGCCAGTTTATAGCCGGAGATGTAAGGAACCAACTGTCTACATACAAATAAGCCAGATCTGTAGAACTTTCAGCCAGAGTTTATAGCCGGAGAGGTGAGAAACCAACTGTCTGAATACAAATAAGCCAGATCTGTAGAACTTTCAGCCAGAGTTTATAGCAGCAGAGATGAGGAACCAACTGTCTGCATACAAATAAGCCAGATCTCTATAGCTTTCAGCCAGAAAAATTACTAAAAAATATATTTAAAAATATGTTATTTTAGTGACTCGTGGACCACCATGATGCTCTAGCTAGCAGGCTTACTTGTATGTTTGGTGGGCATAGGTTTCAACCCCCCCCCCCCAATGATTACACAAACAGACCAAGTCTGCTCTCCCTCTTAGTTTTTTAAGGTATGGTTTAAGAGAATAATAATGTGCTTTGATTTTTATTACTTGGTGAAAAAAAGTCATTTTAAAAGATTGTTACAGGGCACAAGGGTTTAAACAGATGAAACTTAAATAACTTATCTGTGAAAACTATATTCCATGTAAAGGGAAAGTTTTCTATACCCATATTTTACATCACGCAATCAGAATGCTAGCCCCTTTACATCCCAGACTATTTTTCTTCTGCCTTTCTATCCCCCAATGGAGCATAGGCCCTCAACTAACTCAGGCCAAGTGATCCTATCCTTCGCTATTAAATGGAGCTCTCCCCATGTCCTCCCCTCTTTCTAACTTCATTCTTCAGCTCTCTTCTCTATGTGTTTTTTGATCTTCCTTTATTTCTATGCCCATGTGGGTTCCAATGCAAAGACTTCCCTTGCTACTTCCATTGTTCTCCCTATATCATAGAGAGTTCTAACATTTCAGGTGCCAATTTTGGAAGTTTTCCTAGCTGAGAGGAGGCACGTCAACGATCTGGACTCCTTTCGGCTTTCTCCACACCGTGTCATACTTCTTCTATATGAAAAGCCTACCCTCTTCTTGGTTGGGTGGGTTTTACTTGCTTCTCTTTTTTACTTTTCCATTATTGGTTTGTTTGTTTTTTTGGCTAATGTTTTTACAGGATGATATAGCCAACCTCAAGCCTAACCCTAACCTTAGTCGTCTCAGAAGATTTCCTAGTATAAATTTTAAAGGCTATCCTGGATCACCCCAAAATGTCGTCGCCAGCTTGGTTCTGGTCAAGAAGTTGTGACAGGCCTAGCCAGCCGGCAACTTGACACCCAAAGAGGTAAAAGAGGAAGAGAAGCAGAATTCTGGGCTGGGTAAAAGCAAAAAGTTCTTTCCAATGTCCTCATCATCATCATGTAGAAGGTCCTTTGCAGAACGCCGCTCTCATCACAGTCTGCCTGAAAGAAAATCGGTCTCTCGCCAGATCTCCGGCCTCATGTACTTTCATACTCAAGGAGTCACTTATATCCTGTGCACATCTTTGTCTTGGTTGGTCCCTGCACCTCCTTCCTTATACCATGACTTCTGCTATTATTTTTTTTCAATCCGTCGTGGCGCTTGACATGACCAAAATATTTCCTCTTTCCCATATAATGCTGCTAAGTTTGACGTACGGTGATAAAATAATGGCCTGTTTCAAACAACACACAGCTGTATCATCTACTGGTTTGATAAAGTTTGCAGCAATGCGCTGGGCACTTGCCTGGGAGCCCCAACAACACACAGCTGTATCATCTACTGGTTTGATCAAGTTTGCAGCAATGCACTGGGCACTTGCCTGGGAGCCCCAACAACACACAGCTGTATCATCTACTGGTTTGATCAAGTTTGCAGCAATGCACTGGGCACTTGCCTGGGAGCCCCAACAACATACGGGTACCATGCTAGTCTGTGTATGTCAAGTAAACATGAAACAAACATTAGTCAAGAACCCTTTTCAAGGTCTTCAGGTGTACTGGGCATGTAGGGCTAGACCTACAGTGTGTTAAGTGACTTGCCATAAATAAAAACCTCTTTGCTGTGAGCGGTTTTCGTAGGGGCCCCATCACCCTGGTTTGTCTAGGGGCCCATAATGCTGTTAAGACACATTAATATCATTATTTTCATTTGTGTTTTTAACAGTTTTTTGTTTAAACCTACAAATCTGCTGGCACAAAAACTAATACATCAAGCAAACCAGTGTAAACAGTGACTAATTAGCTGAAACTTCTGTATGTGCATTAAATTCTCCCAAGCCAGTAATGGATGTCACACCTTCAAGCTAGAGATGGATACTAGATCAGACCAAAGAAGGATACCAGACTTTCAGACCAGAGATGGATGCCACACCTCCAAGCCAGAGATGGATGCCACACCTTCAGAGCAGAGAGAGATACCACATCTTCAAACAAGAAATGGATGCCCCACCTTCAAGCCAAAGATGGATACCACACCTTCAGAGCAGAGATGGATACCACACCTTCAGAAAAAGAGATGGATGCCACACCTGTTGTGTGCAATCTCAAGATTCACACTAGGGCTGACTGCTAATGAACATGAGATATGACGAGAGACATGACGTCACTTGCCGACAGAAGAACTGGACAGAAGACAGTTAAAAGAAATGTATAAATGGCAGAGGCTTGTCTTGATATGTCCCTGATGCCGCAGTTCGCAGGAGAGCAAAGGCTCTGAGCTCCATGTTTGAGGAAAGGAGTTATTCTGCCATCGTTAAGTATAATGATCGCAACATATTTGTTTGAACAGTGTTTATCGCAGTACCAAACCTTCAGATAAGAAATGGTTGCCACACCTTCAAATCAGGGATGTATAATGCACCTTCAGACGAGGGATGGATAACGTACCTTCAGACCAGGGATGGATAACGTACCTTCAGACCAGGAATGGATAATGTAACTTCAGACCAGGGATGGATAACACACCTTCAGATGAGGAATGGATAACGCACCTTCAGAGGAGAAATGGAGGACTCATCTTCAGAGAAGAGATGGATGCCACATTTTCAGAGGAGAGATGGATGCCACATCTTTAGAGGAGAGATGGATGTGACATCTTTAGAGGAGAGATGGATGCCACATCTTCAGAGAAGAGATGGATGCCACATCTTCAGACCAGGGATGGATACAAAACCTTCAGACAAGAGATGAATACCACATCTTAAAGCCAGAGATGGATACAACACATTCAGACAAGAGATAAATACAACATCTTCAGGCCAGGGCTGGATAGCCCACCTTCAGACAAGAGATGGATACCACACTTTTAAACCAAAGATAGACATCATTCTTTCATACCAAAGGTGAATGCTATAAGCTGAACCCAGAGATGGATGCAAAATATTAAATCTCGAGTTGAATATCTCACACTCAAAATATAGGTGGATTTTAAATTTAAAGCTAGAGGTAAATTCTACTATTCAAGCTAGAGGCAAATTCTGCATTTCAATATAGAGGCAAATTCTAAATTTCAAGCTAGAGGCAAATTCTATATTTCAAGCTAGAGGTGAATTCTATTTTACAAGCTAGAGGTGAATTTTACTTTTCAAGCTAGAGGCAAATTCTACATTTCAAGTTAGAGACAAATTTTACATTCCAAGATATATGTGAATTCTACATTTCAAGCTAGACATACAGTATACAACCATACATTCAAGCCAGAGATGGAAACCAAACCGATCCCAGTCATAATTCTACCTGTATACAATGCGGCAAATTACACTACAAATTAAGTAGGACATATCTGATTGAACAAGCCACTGATGTGCACTTACCTGGTACAATGTAGCATATTGTGCTGTAAGCCGTAAAATGGAAGTCTTCTTGTAGATAGTCATGAATCAACATGTGAGCCAACACCCTCTCGGCCGTTTCTTTACTAAAAGGTGGTACGGCTACAGATTTAACCTAGAAAATACATTTCATACATTTTCAGAAGAAGAAAAATCCTACAAATATAATATCATAGTAAATGAAACAAGTGTAAACCCTTTTGCCATGGTGGCCTAAAAAAAAAAAAACAGCCAAGCTTTCACACTTTCCATTTGTTTTTGTTGAGATTCGTGAAAAATATTAATAGATTCTCAGAAAAACAAACATTTTACACTTGTGGACATGCACACACATACAAAATCAATTTATCATCAAACCGCGAACAATACTGAAAGTAATGGGGAATGATCAAGAAAAAATGAATGCAGTCGCATAGAATCAGCTGGCTTACATCTCTTGGGGCCTGTACAATTAATAATAGCATGACACTTACTTGACTGTAACCCAGTTACTTGACAACCACTGTAGCCAATGGGAAAATGTGACAAAGAAACTTCTATAAACAAATTCATGTACCTAAAAGGGAACCCTCTCCCTTCTTGCAAGGACTCTTTGGCTCTCTATTCAAATGCAGTCTACTCGGACACATTCTCCAATACAGCAACTGGTCTAGGAACACATTGAGAAAACACCAAATATCTTCAAAATCAGAGTGCATCTGCCTGAGGCAAGGAACCAACAGTCTGCAAACAAATAAATAAATCTGTTAAATGGATATGCACACAAAATGTAAAGGTCTGGATCAAGACCAAAGTCCATAAGTCAAAGAGAATCACAAACTTTCTGCTGGAGTTTACAGCCCGTGAACAATAAGATGAAGACGATATCTGAGAAAACTTTGGCTTTTTAACTCTTTCAGTACCAGAAGGTTTCAGATGAGATTCAACCAGGAAGAAATTAACCATGATGAAAAATCGTGAACGAATTACTTTCAAAGTAGGAATATACAAAGTGATAGTGACCATTTGAAAAAGCCAGATTTCTTTAGCATGTTTTGATAATAAATTAACAAATAAGAGAGCACATTATCATAAGGATAATCAAAGGGTAGACTCATTAACATGTTGTCTGGGACTGAAAGAGTTGAGCTTCAAAATTCAGCCAAATATAATAAAGAAGCCTAAAAAGTATCCAGCATAAGTTGGTTCAAGGCCAATGCAGCACTGGAAGGTGACAGGCAGATGAAGACAACCTGGTATAGTTTAACAGAAAAAATAAAACATATACTTATTTCCAATCTCTGACCTCTTTGAACTCACTTTAAGACTGGCAGCACCGCGTCCATACCAAGCATCTACCAGTTTGGCTGTGGTCATCCTCTGGTCAGTGTCAGCAGCAGCTCTCAGGATGGACAGCACATCCACACAGTACTTGGACACATCTTTCTTCTCTATACTTCCTATACACACATACACACACAAATAGGATGTGTTCAGATACCAGATGGTTGTGAGGACTTCATATGAATGCCATTGTTAGGATATATTTTAGGTGTTAGTCACTGCAATGCAAAGACACTGTACACGACCAACAAAAGTCTGCTTTCATCATCAACACCATGTAGAAGATCCTTTGCAGGACCTTACTCTTATCACTGTCTGCCTGAAAAGAAATGTGTTCTCTAGCCAAACTTTCCCACCTCATGCACTTTCCTACCATAGGTGTTACTTATTTACTGTGACCATCTTTGTGCTGGCTGACTCCTGCCCCTCTTGCCTTCTACCATGCTTTTTGCTATCATCATTTTTTTCTAATCCGCCGTGGTGCTAGATGTGGCCAGAATATTTCAATTTCCGAGATAAGATGCTGTTTACTAGCCAATCTTTTCGGATGTTCAGATCTTTTCAGATGTTCAGATCTTTTAGGATGTTCAGATCTTTTAGGATGTTCAGATCTTTTAGGATGTTCAGATCTTTCAGGATGTTCAGATCTTTTAGGATGTTCAGATCTTTTAGGATGTTCAGATCTTTTAGGATGTCAGTATTTCGTTTCTTCTTTGTCCATGGGATTCTGAGAATCTTTATATAGCATTTCAGCTCAAAAGCCCTTATTTTCTTCCTTAAGAACTATGCCTGTCTTTACATACTAAAATAGAACTCACCATGGGGTGACAACCAAATGCTAATGAATTGCAACAAGAGCCAACCTGCCAGAAACTACAGCCTCTAATCAGCGACATCCTTTTGTGCCATCATACGTCAAACAGGGCTTGCAGTCTATTCTTCCATTTGGTTGTATTCTGTGCAACTGTTTTAACAACATGGGTGGAATCCAGTCAAGCACCTTTGGCCTCTCTCATTGAAGTTCATCTTAGAGCTCCCTTTGAGTGTCCTCATTTCCCCAATCTAACTGTTTCCCAACTGTTTAAGTGCTTGTTTGGTGATTCTCCGTTTCCTTACCCTCAGGATGTGCTAAACATATCATATTCTTTATTTTATAACAGCCTCTACCAACAGACAAATGAAACAATCATTGTATAGCTATTTTGTATGGAGACCATGAAAAACCTCAACCAAAATTAAGAAATAAAATTTGCCAGCTGTTCAATGAAACACAATCATTACTTTATGCACTCAGTGAAATGGGTTCTTGGGCCACATAAATACAAACCTTGCAAAAGTGACCAAAACCAACTGGTTTCACACCGCTATGTTCTGTAAGTTTTCCTAATGGTCCTATAAGTTGTTACTGGAATTATGGTTTTATTTACTTTTGCTCTGTGACTTATACTGGTTTCAAATGTCACTGAAATCATACTTTAGTCTACAAACCTTTGTTCTGTGACTTGTTGCAATGGTTACATATGTCACTTGAATCGTACTATAGTCTACAAACATTTGCTTTGTGACTTGTCACAATGGTTTCCAATGTCACTGGAATCAGTTTATTTATATTTTTTCCAGGATTTGTCACAATGGTCCAACGTTGCTAAAATCAACAGTTTAAAAACCTTTGTTTTATGACTTGTCACATACTTTACTAGAATTAAGAGTTACAAATCTGTGTCCATAAATTGTCATAGGCTGTAACTAGAGTCAACAATTTACAAACCTTTGTTCTATTACTTGCCACAACAGTCAGACATTACTAGAATCATACTTCACTTACCTTTTTTTCTCATGACATGTCACAGTGCTCGTAAATGTTACTATAATCAGTCATTTGCAAACTTTTGTTACATGACTTGTCACAATGGTCTCACATTACTAGAATCAACAATTTAGAAATCTTTGTTCTGTGACTTGTTCCAGTAGTCACACCTGTTGTTACTGGAATCACACTTTACTGATCTTTGTTTTGTGACATGTCACAACTAGAATAATCAGTTTACACACCTTTCTTCCAAGACTTGTAACAATGGTCACACATGTGATAACTAGAATCAACAGTTTGCAAACCTTTGTTCCATGACTTGTCACAATGATCACACGTATGGTAACTAAAATCAACAGTTTACAAACCTTTGTTCCATGACTTGTCACAATGGTCACACATGTGATAACTAGAATCAACAGTTTACAAACCTTTGTTCTGTGACTTGTCACAATCGTCACACATGTGATAACTAGAATCAACAGTCTACAAACCTTTGTTCTGTGACTTGTCACAATGGTCACACATGTGATAACTAGAATCAACAGTTTACAAACCTTTGTTCCGTGACTTGACACAATGGTCACACATGTGATAACTAGAATCAACAGTTTACAAACCTTTGTTCCGTGACTTGACACAATGGTCACACATGTGATAACTAGAATCAACAGTTTACAAACCTTTGTTCCGTGACTTGACACAATGGTCACACATGTGATAACTAGAATCAACAGTTTACAAACCTTTGTTCCGTGACTTGACACAATGGTCATACATAAGGTAACTAGAATCAACAGTACACAAACCTTTGTTCCGTGACTTGTCACAATGGTCACACATATTGTTACAATGAGAACTGTCCCACATCTCACCAAAATGGTGGGCTATTAAAGAACGCCTGCAGCTGAAAGACAAATGCCAAACACTCATATTTATTTAATGACTGAATGAGGGCCTCATGTGTAACAGCAGGGATAGAGACAAGGATTAAGTCTCAGCTATTGTTCTTATTGTTCTTCGCATTCACCAGCTGTAAACTCAGGCGGAAAGTTCTGGGTGTTCATCCACCTCTAGATATTAGCCTTGTTTTAGAGCCTGAGTGTTGCGTGCACATCCATTTTTCAGATCAGACTTATCTGTATGCAGACTGTTGGTTCCTTGCCTCTGCAGATGCATGCCGACTTTGAAGGAAGCCCCCCAATGACGACATGGGTGTTGGGGAGGCAGTGGGTTTATTCTTGTTTTCCTCACAAGTGGACCCTGGAACCCACATGGGGAAAGTTTTGTTCCAATTAACCTAAATTCAACAGCCTCTTTCAGCGATATCTGACTACGGCTTGATGTGCACTCTAAGAGGGAACCCACACAGGGAAACTTTTGTTCCAATTAGCTTAAATTCAACAGCCTCTTTCAGCGATATCTGATTATGGTTTGATGCACACTCTAAGAGGGAACCCATGCGGGGAAACTTTTGTTCCAATTAGCTTAAATTCAACAGCCTCTTTCAGCGATATCTGACTACGGCTTGATGTGCACTCTAAGAGGGAACCCATGCGGGGAAACTTTTGTTCCAATTAAAAGGTGACTAATTAGGATCTGCTGAAACTGGATGTGTGGATCACAAGGCAGAGATATCACAGCCTAGCAGTAAACTGCAACATAAGGTACCAAGCACTTTTTTTTCTAAGGTGAGCACAAAAGAAGAAGAAGGAAGAGGAAGAGGAGAAGAAGAAGAAGAGGAAAGATGGGCCATACTATCCAGTGTTCCCTTTTTGCAGGACCTAATGTGTGTAAAATGGTAACAAAAGCTTCACTTGCAATTCTTTGGGAAGGGAGGCAGAAGTGCTGGACTAAATGTGGTGAGGCACCAGGACTAGGGCTCACAGCTGTGAAGATTCTGGGGCCAATATTTTAGTGGAACAGTTTCATTGCTTCCAACAAGCATGACCTAAAAGACTAATTAGGAATTCAATGAAACTAGATGTGCTGGGCTAAAAAGTGCAGAAATTGCAGCCTTGCTGTAAACCACAAAATTATGTGCCAACCATTCTTTTAAGGGTCAAAACAAACAAAAGAGAAGAAGAAGAAGCAGAAGAAGAGGAAAAAGAAGAAGAAGAAGCAGCAGAAGAAGAAGCAGAAGAAGAAGAAAAAGAAGAAGAAGAAGGAGGAGGAAAAGGAGAAGGACGAGTAGGAGGAGGAGAAGAAGAAGAAGGAGGAGGAGGAAAAGGAGGAGGAGGAGAAGGAGGAGAAGAAGAAGCAGCAGAAGAAGAAGAAGCAGCAGCAGCAGCAGCAGCAGAAGAGGAAGAAGAAAAAGAAGAAGAAGAAAGAGAAGAAGATCGAAGAAGAAAAAGAAGACTGCTTGTCCTAGAGCATCTGCTATGGAGTATAAAGGATATAATTTGTCTATTCTCCTCTGATAGGCACACACACAAAATCATGCACTTTCTTCTTCTTTTGGTAAAGATCACTTTCACTGCTGACAGCTATCTCTATCAATGTTTATTCTCCCCTAGAGTACACAAGGAGAATCTCAACTCTGCGCACAAACTCTGCAATACAGGCACTATTTAAATGTATGCATATACTAGAAAGGGAGTTGCCGTGGCGGAGCGGCTAGACACTCGCAGCGGATTGGAAGGTTGTTAGTTCCCTCAATAATGACCTTGGCTCCCTGGTCGACACAGCCTTGAGTGGGTACCGGGTGCAGGGGAAGTAAAGGTGGCCGGCATGATTCTGACCACATCACCCATCTTGTGCCGATTGATTTATAAAATATAAGTCTAGCCCTATATGCCTAGACCCGTGGAAAAGGGTCCTTTACGGTGTTTTCTTTTACTCATATACTAGAATATTATATGCTTTAAATATTCTGTACACTCACGGGAAAGGCAAGACGAATATACAATCAGACAGATACTGGCCCCATCGGAATCGGAACCCTTCGCTTGATGCTGAAGGTGGGGATAGAGTGCTTGTGAGAGTGTCTCAATTGCTATGATGTTGATTCATAATTCAACATTCAACAATTTGTAAATATTCTTATTGTGGGTAGTTTTCCTGTCTTCAGAGATTAAGTCCCAGCAGCTACCAGTTACCCTGATTAAAACTACGTCTTCTGTTTAAAAAAAACAGCTCAAAACTCCCATTTCACTTATTATTTCATCTTCAAAAGATCCCAATGGGGGTTCTAGGGCCCCACTGAGGGTTGGAATAAATCCACTGCCTCCCTGTCATACAAGACGACTATTCTCGGGTGCACCCTTCAAAGTCCCAGTGCATCTGCCTGAGAGGTGAGGAACCAACAGTCTGTATAAAAATAAGCCAGAACTGTAAAACAGATGTGCACCTAAAACTTAAGCTCTGGAACAAGACTGTGGACGAACAACCATAAATGTCTGACGGATCTCACAGCTGTGGACACAAAGACTTCAACTTTACGGTGGATTGGAACCCATGATCTCAGCTGTGACAAACAGGATCCCTGCCCCTCAACCACAGACATTATCTATCATAAACTGATACACACACAAGAAACCAGAGAGCACATGCCAGTACCTGCTCACATCAATGCAATATCTGACAATTCCATGCAGATTCTGGAGCCCAGTCATTTCAGTGAACACCATAGAACTCTGTCGGGCCACATCGGCTAGCCGGTAGAAAACTATACAGTCTGACCGCTGGTCGTCCCGACCTGGATCATCAGTTGTAAAAAATATATTTACGTAAACTATATATATATATATATATATATATATATATATATATATATATATATATATATATATATATATATATATATATATATATATATATATATATATATATATATATATATATATATATATATAGTGGCATCTTGGAAAAATATATTTTTCTAAAACAACACACTGTATATCTAGTTACACATAATGATCACATTTGAATAAAAACATGAATAAATAAAAAACATATAAAAACATTATATTTACTGTACCTTGATCAAAATGTTAAACAGAACCTGTTCTGCTGTATGGCAGCAAAACTTGGAATGTCAGTGAACAAATTAGGAAGAATTTGGAAGCAACACAGATGTGGTTTTTGAGACGAATGTTACGAATACCTTGGACAGCCAGAGTAACTAACGATTGCATGAAAGAAGCTAATGAAAGTAGATCTCTATAAACAACAATAAGAAAGAGACAAACACTGTTCTTTGGCCACATAATGAGAAGAAAGACATTGGAGAACATCGTGACAACTGGAAAGATCAGTGGAAAAAAGGGTAGAGGCAGACCAAGAGAGATGATGCTGAATAGGCTGAAACAAAGGCAGGAAGGAATATCATCAAGAGGCAACCAGGGATCGTGATCTATGGAGACACATGAGCGCATATGCCAGTTGGCAGGGCACATGATGATGATGATCAAAATGGTGACACAGCACATACAAGTAGGAGGAGGAAGGGGAGATGATTGTCTGGAAGGTGGGTCACCTTCCATGGTAACATCAGGAATCCTTTCTAGTGTTTCATATCGTAGTCATTCCCCAACTGTAGAGGGTTTGGGGTCACTAGTATCTGCTAGAGTCTTTACAGATGGGTCCGCAGAAAGTGCAGTTAGAAATGGTGGTACTGGAGTGTACATCGAATTCCCAGATAGTACTAGGTACTATTCCACTAGTACTAGGTCCAGTGTACCAACCGGAAAGTACTGCCATAACTATGATGCAGAAACTCAGGCTATCAAGATAGCAACAGAGAAACTGCTAAATACAAATCTTGGCTCACAGTATGTGGTAATGCTGACAGATGCAAAATCAGCACTGGAAGCACTCCAGTCTAGGAAACTTCCAGAATTGCAAAACACTGCTGACACAACTTAGCCTTCAGCGAAGAGTTGTAATGCAGTGGATAACACCAAATTGTGGAGTGCCTGGAAATGAGAAAGCTGATCAACTGGCAGGAGAAGGTGCGACAAAAGAGCAGCCAGATGTACCAGTCACATACCACCAAAAGAAAAAAATCATTAAATCAATCAGGAAACCACCGGCCCCAGCACAAGACGATTATTTTATTATGGACAGATCAGAACAAGTCATTATCTTCCGCCTCAGAACAGGGCACAACCGATTACGTAACCACATGTACACAAAATTCAAGATAGGCGTATCAGCCTTGTGCACCTGTGGAAAAGTGCCTCAGACAGCAGAGCATGTACTCCAGGACTGCACCGAATTTGACACAGTGAAATTTATACAAGAGACAAAATTGCTGATATAGACAACTTATTTCAGGCGAACGAAAGAAGAAGAAGAAGACTAATAACTAGGGCTGTACCGATTATAAGTTTTCACTATTCGGCCGATTACGAATAGTGGGACCAACTATTCGGCCGAATACGAATACGAATAGTGTATCATCATCATCAGGTGCCTCGCCGACTGGTGTGGCGATTTTGCCTCGCCACAATCTGCGATCTCCTGCAGCATGTATCAGTTTGTGTGCTGACACACCTCCATGCCATGCAACGACTGTCAAGAATCTTCTCTCGTTGTCTTTTTCTATCTCTCCTTCCACAAATCTTTCCAGTGGTCACCACATGTTCCATTTTCACTCTTTCTATATGATGACTGTCTTCTTCTGATGTCTGCGATTAGTTGTCTTCGGGTTCCCGCCTCTTTCAAAACCTAGTGGTTGCTTTTTTTAAGCTGTCCAAGGTATTTAAAGCATTGTTCTGTAAAACCACATCTCTGAGGCCTCAAAAAATTGTTTGGCCTGGCTACCGATTGTCCAGGACTTATAGCCATATGTTAAAACTGGATGTATGTAGCAAGCAAGACAACGATATATTGCACAAGATGTTCTTTTTTTTAAAATATAAAATGCATTTTTAGCCTGTCCTATTTTGTTTTTTATTTTAGTAATGCATCTTTCATCTAATTTTATCAATGTGTTAAATTCGCATTTAAATCATTTTTCGTTCAGGCGTTCGTTCAATGTAATTTAAATGCACCTTCATATTCTCGTTTGCAATATCTTCAATTTGATTTGGGAAAAGACACCCCGAAAGAACAAAAAAATGCATGCTTTCTCTTTGTCTCTCTCTCTCTCTCACACACACATACACACACACACACACACACACACACACACACAGATACACTTTCAAGTTTCTTCATGCCTTCTTTAACACAACAGTAGCGATGCCTAAATCTTTCGTAGCGGGAAAAACGGCAACCCGTTTGCGTGGTAACAGCGCCTGACTCCGAGACATTACAGCAGAGGTTCTAAAACTGGGTGCGTATGACAGGGGTGCCGCGGCGAAAATCAAGAAAAGTCGGCTATAAATTGTGACATTATTAATGAGAGAGTTATTTTAGTCCATCGCAGTGTATGCAGAAATCACTATTCGTATTCGGCCGAATACCGAATAGCTAGTAGGTCCACTATTCGGCCCCGAAGCGAATACGAAGCGAATATTCGGTACAGCCCTACTAGTATCTGCTGATAGCCAGCGTTCTAAAGTGCTCTGGTGTTGCGACCATTTTTTTTCCTTCTAAAATGTAAGATAATGCTATCCCTGAATAAGTTAACACACCTTTTAACTGGTGCTCTATCAGGATGCCACCTCTCAACAGCTTCCTACGTTTTCGACCCCATGGTCAAAAGATCTTGGATTTCAGCAGTGCTAATCATTCCAGCTTTTCCCTCTTCCTCACTGGAAGAAATTTCTTCTGCAATTTATTCCTTTTGCTGAGGCACTTGCGTTGTTAGTTCCTTCCCTTTATCAGCACGTGCCAGACTTTCCAATTTCAAAGCAGCGTTCGGTTTCCACACTGTTTGAGTTCTGAATCATTCTAATTCTGAGGTACAAGTGCGTTTGTTTGTGCATGGGGGAGGGGGGGGGGGGGGGGGGGGGGTGATGATGGAGTGTATGTGTGTGTGTGCGTGCGCGCAAATGACTTAAAAGTACATACCTGCCCGGCCACTCTCTTGATACAAATTTTCCATAGACTTGCTAAGGCTGTGGTGTATGACAAATCGGACGTCTGGTTTATCTATACCCATTCCAAATGCCACTGTTGCTACAACAATCTATAATCAAATAAATGCACATTCATTTTTCAGACAATTTATGTGAATTACTATTTAATTTACGAATGAGAATTTATTTTATTTAAACAAATATGCACAATTAAAATCAATCTTTTTGGCTGACCTATTTCAAAGATTAACAAATGATGGAGAAGAAGAAAAATGAATGACAGAGAGCAAACAAACTTTATTTTCAAAGGGCAACAAAAAGAAAGATAGAGACAGTTATATACTTTATACACACACATATATATTTATAAAGTAATATATAAAGTAATAAGAAATAGACCGGGTAATCAATAAACAGAGCTAACCAAAGTATCAAGTAAACATAAATACATCACACATTCAGTACACTAAACTAAATACTGCAATCAGGAAACAGAAATATCATCATTATGTAGCAGGTCCTTTGCAGAACGTCACTCTCATCATGGTCTGCCTGAAAGAAACTCGGTCTCACGCCAGTTCTCCTGGCTCATGTACTTTCATACTCAAGGAGTCACCTATATTCTGTGCCACCTTCACGTTCAACGACCCTTGCCCCTCCTTCATGATAACATGCCTTCTGCTATTATTTTTTCAAATCCGACATGGCACTTGATATGACCAAAATATTTCAGCTTCCGAGACAAGATGCCGATTATTAGCCAATCTTCCTTGATGTTCAGATCTTTTGAAATGTCAGTATTTCTCCTTTTCTTTGACCACAATATTCTGAGAACATTTCTTTAGCACTTCAGCTCAAAACAGAACTATATACCCAGCAATTTTCATTTGTGATGCACATAAGTTAGCGAAAGGCCCGTTTTATGCCACTGGTATATCGCACATACACTGGACTCACATTTTTAAAGACTAGACAGCATTCTATGGGAGATGTGGTCAACATAATGCCGGCCGCCTTTACTTTCCAGGACTTTACCTGGTACACAGTTTAGGCTGGTCAGTCAGCAGCTAAGGTCAATTTTGAAAAAAATCTGGCTCAATGCAGGCATGAACCCAAGCAAGCACGCTTTTGGCCACTATGATTCCATCACTCCCATCTAAGCATGGAAGAATTGTTTTTCTTTAGGTTCTTAGCCAATCTTTTATATATGGATATGTTCTCCAAGTGATGCTGGAGTTTTGGAAAACAAACAGGCAGATAGACTTGCCGCTTCTGCACCATCTGGTGGTGAACTGGTGCATGACAAGCTGGATGTTGTAAGGGTCCTTTGGAAGCGAAGAAACAGTGTGGAGGCACAAACAGATCATCACAGTCGGAGGAGAACGGTGCCATAGGGAATGACCAGGGGATCAGGCCGACACTCAAAACTAAAGAGAAAGGCAAGAAGGATAAACAATCAAACTGTTATGGGTGCCATCAGAATAAGAGTTCTTATGCCTGCTGCTGTAGCTGGGGATAGAGCACTTAGGAGAATATCCCCAGTGCTGTGATGTCTATTCATACTTCAAAATCCAAAATATTTGTCAACAATTCCTGGAAGAGATTTCTATAAAGAAGAGCTAAATAAAAAAAAAAAAAAGACAAAACTGTAATTTGTCCAGCAGATCTCTACCTTAATTTCCCCTGACAACCACATGCGATGAACCCGGCTGCGAGATGCAGCATCCACATCCGCATGATAGCAGCCAGCTTTGACTCCACGAGACTGTAGATCCGAGGTGACTTCCTCAGAGTCTTTACGAGAGAAGCAGTAAATGATACCTGGTCCAGACAATCAGAATAAGTCAATATCAAGTGTACTTAGATTGATATACTTCGATGGATATGAAAAGGTAACTCTTTGAGTCCCAAGAAACGCATCATACGTTCATAGATTCCTACCTAGAAGCCCAATGAACGCAAGATGCGCCGAATTCACATATCTTTTGACTACCCTTTGGGCCTGTGATGCAAAATCCCCTGGGACTCAAAGAGTTAACTGTATTTCTTTCACAGGAAGTTACACACAAACACCAGCATTTTTTAGCAGTTTCCCCTTGTGGGTTCCACAGCCCCTCTTCTTCTCCTTATTATTCACTGGCTGCAAACTCACGTGGAAAGTTATGGTTGTTTGTCCACTTCTGGAATTTTGCCTTGTTTTAGAATTTGAGTTTTGTGTGCATATATTTAAACTACTGGATGTAAATTTGCCTAGAAAAACCACACAACAGACAGGGGCTGTTGGGGTTGGTTCTGCAGCGTCCTGTAAAGGATGAACTCTGAATTTATTTGTAAGGAAGCTCTGCCCATAACTAGTCGCCAATCATGACATGAATGTTAAAGGGGCAGCAAATCTATTCTTCTTCTCCTCCCACCATGGCGCCCTGGATTCCACAAGGGCAGACACACCCCTTACCCTCGAAATATATAACAAAAAGGCAACTAAAAAAGAGAAAAAAAGAGACCAAAAAGAGCAGACAATGTAACCCTGCTGTAAGCCACAAACAATGTACAAACCAATCATTTAAGAGCGAACACAGAGGGAGTCTAGTCTGCTTTACAATACCACAATTATGAACAACAAAATAACACTGCAGCTAGAAAGCTTTCATCAGCCTACAACATAAATGGAAAATGATTTAACTGGTTTTACTAGGCAAAATTAAGTCATGCTGGTGTGTTGGGAAACAAGCCGGAAGATAGACTAGCCGGTTCTGCACCACTTGGTTGTGAACTGATGTATGACAAGCTACACGCTGTGAGGGCTCTTTGGGATTGCGTTAACAGTATGGAGGCACACTAGGTATACAACAGACACAATAGATAATTATAGTCTGAGAACGGGGCTACAGGGAGTTACCAGGGGGTCAGGCCGATGCTCAACACTCAAGGGAAAGGTGAGACAGATGTACAATCAGACAGTTACTGGTACCATTGGAACTAGATCTACAATCAGACAGTTACTGGTACCACTGGAACTGGAACTACAATCAGACAGTTACTGGTACCACTGGAACTGGAACTACAATCAGACAGTTACTGGTACCATTGGAACTGGAACTACAATCAGACAGTTACTGGTACCATTGGAACTGGAACTACCATCAGACAGTTACTGGTACCATTGGAACTGGAATAACAATCAGACAGTTAGAGGTACCATTGGAACTGGAACTACAATCAGACAGTTACTGGTACCACTGGAACTGGAACTACAATCAGACAGTTACTGGTACCACTGGAACTGGAACTACAATCAGACAGTTACTGGTACCATTGGAACTGGAACTACAATCAGACAGTTACTGGTACCACTGGAACTGGAACTACAATCAGACAGTTACTGGTACCATTGGAACTGGAACTACAATCAGACAGTTACTGGTACCACTGGAACTGGAACTACAATCAGACAGTTACTGGTACCATTGGAACTGGAACTACAATCAGACAGTTACTGGTACCACTGGAACTGGAACTACAATCAGACAGTTACTGGTACCACTGGAACTGGAACTACAATCAGACAGTTACTGGTACCATTGGAACTGGAACTACAATCAGACAGTTACTGGTACCATTGGAACTGGAACTACAATCAGACAGTTACTGGTACCACTGGAACTGGAACTACAATCAGACAGTTACTGGTACCATTGGAACTGGAACTACAATCAGACAGTTACTGGTACCACTGGAACTGGAACTACAATCAGACAGTTACTGGTACCACTGGAACTGAAACTCTTTGCCTGCTGCTGAAGTTGGGGGCAGAGACCTTATGGGAGAGTTCTAAGTGCTATGATGTCGATTCTCAATTCAACATTTAATGTTCAGCAGTTTGCCATTGCTTCTGAACTGTCTGCTCTCTATACCATTATTGAAACCAATGCAAAGTTTATGAACGATTGCAGGTTCTACGAACAGACATCTTTCATACTGGACCATGTAACAAAAATTATATAATCAATGATCTGTGATCCCTTTGGGTGGGGGATTTAGACCCACATTGCTGTTGGCAATATATTTGTGTAGCGATCCAATTTCTACCTGGCAAAAGAACATCAGGACACAGATTCCTCATCATAAATTATGTGTGTAAGGTTGAATAGCTGACAGTCATGACAGACCAAACTAAACGCTAAGAAATGCATGAAGTTTGGCAGTGTATGGTATGGTGTCTAAACAAACGAAAAAGTATGAGCTGAGACTAAAGAGTTCACTGGAGGATAAGAAAGATTATCCCAGGTGCAGAATGTAAGAAGAATCGGTTCTGTTTAATGACGCTTGGAGAGCAAATGTGTATATTTTTTAATGAATGAATCAACTGATACATGATAAGGCAGACGTGGTTAGTGCCTTGTGGGAGAGATTGTACAATTCGAAGGAGCAGATGGATCACCACAGTCTGGTGAGATTGATGCAGTTAGGGGTGACCAGAGGTTCTGGCAGATGCTCGAGGCTCAGAGGAAAGGCAAGACGGATGTTTAATCAGAATGCTACTGGCACCATTAGTATCAGAACTCTTCGCTGGCTGCTTGAGATGGGGATGGAGCGCTTATGGGAATGCCCCGAGTGCTGTGATGTCGGTTCTTAAATCAATTCATGAATGAATCAGGAGTGTATGCAGAAGCGGAGGACAATGTTATGAAACCTAGCCATGTTTATAATCTACAAATGACTGCTTGAGTTCTGTCTGATGTGATCACAGCTTCTCCTAAACATTTGGATCTCTGGTGTGCACGGATTGAGAAGAAAGCTACGTAAAGAAGTAAACACTTTTATCAGCTTTTCTGTGATATCAATGTTGGGTACATATTGGAATTCAATCTTCTTCTTTTGTCACCTCACTGATACCAGGTTGTAGCCCAGTGTAGTCGTTTCCTGTATTTGTCTATCGCTTCTTGGGTGGCTTGAGTGATGCATCTGTTAATCTTTCAGCTAAACCACTTATTCATCCCTTTCTTGATCTTCCTCCCAAATGTTCAGCTGTAAAAAGTTTGGAAGATTTCAGGCTAAGGGGGCAATGGAAGGAGACGGGCACCAGCCAGCTCAGATGTTTTCTTGTCCCACCTTGCGAGGGGCCCAGCAAGGCGGCAGTGGTGTATTTGATTGCTACTACTCAAGAAACATTGGAATTCAAAGTCCTTCCACAATGTTCTTTGATCATTTAAAGATCATCGTCAAGACACACGCCATAAGTGTTCCGATCTCCTCCTGAGTATGTCTCAAGCACTTTTAGCTAACAACTCCCATTCTGAAATAGTTGATGTAACGACGGGTGGCTCCCCCATGGTTTTCCTGTCTCGCTGCTCCAATTAGTACACCCAAGGGATGCAGTCTATTCAGTGAAAAATCATTTTCTATGAAACTGAACGCCTCACAGTGTTTAGTCTCTCATATGGCATTGATGATTTTATGTTGTATAGAAATATAAGCAAAGTAAACATATTTTCTATGAAACTGAACGCCTCACAGTGTTTAGTCTCTCATATGGCATTGATGATTTTATGTTGTATAGAAATATAAGCAAAGTAAACATATTTTCTACATGCAACATGAGGTTCCCCACTTAAAGGAAAACAATTACGGGCCCTTTTCTTGCCAGTGGGGCAAGATGATGCTAGACTCATATCATATAGACCAATCGGCTTTCGCTGGCCACCTTTACTTCCCAGGCTTTTACCTGGCGTCCATTTTAAACTGCGTCAACCTGGGAGCCAAGGTAATCTAAAAAAAAAAATATCTGACTTGCTGGGCATTCAAACAACTTACCAGACTGTCCGGAAAACCGACGTGAGATCAGACGATATAGTTCATCCATAAAATCTTTCTGTGTGCTGGGTTTCTCATAAACCTTTATTCAAAACATTAAATTTTTTTTTAAAGGGGTCAACAAAATAAAGGGACAAATGAGACAGCATAGAACACTAGCATTCCCTGCGTGGGTTCTGGAGCCCCATTTTTAGGAGAACAAGAACAGACCCACTGCTCCTTTACATATTATAAAAGGCGACTAATTAAGGATTTGCTGTCATACCAATCATTCCCATGTGAGATGACATTTGCTGTCATACCAATCATTCCCATGTGAGATGACATTTGCTGTCATACCAATCATTCCCATGTGAGATGACATTTGCTGTCATACCAATCATTCCCATGTGAGATGACATTTGCTGTCATACCAATCATCCCCATGTGAGATGACATTTGCTGTCATACCAATCATTCCCATGTGAGATGACATTTGTTGTCATACCAATCATTCCCATGTGAGATGACATTTGCTGTCATACCAATCATTCCCATGTGAGATGACATTTGCTGTCATACCAATCATCCCCATGTGAGATGACATTTGCTGTCATACCAATCATTCCCATGTGAGATGACATTTGTTGTCATACCAATCATTCCCATGTGAGATGAAATTTGCTGTCATACCAATCATTCCCATGTGAGATGACATTTGCTGTCATAACAATCATTCCCATGTGGGATGACATTTGCTGTCATACCAATCAACCCCATGTGAGATGACATTTGCCGTCATACCAATCATTCCCATGTGAGATGACATTTGTTGTTATTTAAAGCCCCACACTGGCTTTTGCCGGGGGCCCCTAATATAGCCGGGCCATAAATATGGCCTAATGGCTGAAAGGGGTTTCTGGGATCTCTTAACGGGTGAAAGGTACTTATCACAAACTCGCCAGCATCAGGAGAGTTCCTTCCCTTCCCATTCATGCAGTGGCAGGTCGCACGGCCTGTCCTATGTTGTGGGGGTGTTATGAGATGGCTTCATGATGCGTTCACTTGCCATTTATAATGTTTGTGGGAGGTTGTGTTGTCGTGAGTCTCTTTGAGGCACTGCAGCCGCTTGTGTAGAAGTAAGAAGTACTGAGGGGGGGAAGCGCCGAAGGCACATCTGTTCATAAGTATCGAAACTGGGATGTTTTTGTATTTCTATGTTCTTTGGCGGTGGCTTCCAGCCAGAAAAAAAAAGCCACTGTGAAGAAACATAGGAACACAAAAACATAGTAGTTTCCATACTCCTGAGCCATCAGACAAGTAGCACAATGTGGAAATAATCAGGCAATTGAGCGGTGACAACATGAGAAAAGATACAACGGTTAAACCTTAAAAATAAGGAATACATGACACCCCTGCAACATAGGACAGGCCATGTGACCCGCAGCGGTATGAACATGAATGCAAGGAACTCCGGCTGTGTGGGAGGGTTTGTGATAAGTATCGGAAAAAATAATAGATTAATAAGAAGACGATGACAAACAAAAGAAGATAACATAGCAAAATGAAATTAGCTTAAGTCTGATAAATCTGCTCCCTAAGAAATGCAACCCTGAGTGACAAACATTACCTCATAGTACAAGTTTGGCCTGTTGAAAGATGCCTTAAATAGCAGAGACTTTGGGATGCTGAGAATTTTTTTCACATCCTCCAAAACTTTGATAGTGGCTGTGGCTGTAAGACCCAAAATTGGAGCACCAGGAAACTGCCGTTTCATAATACCTAGGAACTTGTAATCTGCAACAACAACAACAAAAGATCACAGTAATCTTATAGCACTTACTATTTTGTGAGTGCAAAATATGCTCTGTATCTCTTCTTCTTCACGTTCACCAGCTGTACACTCTGGTGGAAAGTTCTGGTTGCTCGTCCACTACTGAACTGCAGTCCTGCTCCAGAACCTGAGTGTTGCGTGTGCATCAGTTTTACAGATCTCATTCTCTTGAATACAGAGAGTTGGTTCCTTGCCTCTCCGGCAGATGCACTCCGACTTCAAAGGAAGCTTCCCAATTAGTCGACTCTTACGACATGCTTTTGGGGAGGCAGTGGGTCTATTCTTGTTTTCCCCACAATGGGGCCCCGGAACCCACACGGGGGAGTATCTCTTCTATTAGGCATGAAGAAAGAAGAAAAATGTCTGAGTAACCACTAGTATCATTAGTTATAAGACAGAGAAGATCGTTCTATATTGTACACCAGCAGTTCTTAATCTTCTTTCCCTTGTCGGGCTAAAAAGAATTTGCGGCACCTAGGCTTAAAACAGTCTGAATACTTAGGACAAGAAGAAAAACAGTGGAGATAAATATAAGGACAATCATTAGCAGGTTAAGGTTGGCATGTTATGCAATATGAAGCATGTATGAGTGTGAAACACAAAATAAACTCTTTTTGACAGTGGCCAGGGAAGACAACTTAAATTTGAACTTTTAAGCATCTTTATGCTGTCTTTTCTTGATTATTGCCGCGGCACCCCTAGCATACACTCCCAGTTTGAGAACCGCTGTTGTGCACACCCTGAACACAGAGAACAATCACAAAACAGGCACTGAAATGGGAAACTGTGGGATTGAGAAAACAAGGACGACCAAGGGAAATCTTAAATCGAATGTTGATGGGAGAAGCCAAAGCTGCTGGACTGGATTCCATCCATATCGAAGTGACTGCACAGGACACAACAGAATGGAGAGATAGACCGTGGGCCCTGTGTGATATATAATGGGACATCAGGACAATGAATGAATGAATGAATTTCTTCTATTTCTGAATGGCACTTTTTTCCGGGATAATGTGATTTTAAAAAAATTATTAAAGGTAAGTAAATTGGGTGCACCTAACTAAATTATGATACTGGGATTGACCGCAGAACCCTTAGGGAAATTTAATGTGCAAGCATGGACTTACTGATCCCATCACAGCTCACAGAAAAGACTCCTAGCCCCCTTGCCAATTGTTCTGCACATTGTACTCTCCCACTCACGGTAGTTCTTATGTACTGTGCTTAACTTCAGTCTAGCAGAACCCTTGTAATCTGCTTCTCATTATTATTCCATCTTTAAAAAGGTATTTAAAAGTGAGACAACTGATTTAATTGTGCTACAGAAGTACCTTGAAGTGACTGCTGCATCGGAGGACTGACCATGTGTGGGACTACTCAATGTGAAGTGAGGTCGACTGAGATATCATAAGTGTGCTGGGTTTTTATCTCATATGGCCTAGTCTCTCTCTCTCTCTCTCTCTCTCTCCCCTCACCCCCCAAACCCTCTCTCTCTACAGAACAGGTGTCCACCTGTCAAGAGTGTTGCACAAAGCAGGAACTCTGTAGCTTCAGTGGTAATCCCGAGGAATTTCATGAACTAAACAACAAGAGGCTGAAAAAAAAAAGCCTATAGAAAACCTTCAGAGCAACAGACAATTGGCTTGACTAGGTCTCTGTGGCGATCCCCGTATGACATGCAAGAATGACTTGTAGCTTGTAAATATAAAAGTGATCCCTGACAGCAGCAAAATAGTCGGAGTGACCCAATATCAAGTGAGTGCTGAGCCTCTCTAAACATTTAACAATACATTAAAATATTAACAAATAACCTGAAAATATAAAAGAAGTTCCACTATGATCACTTAAGCTGTTGTGGCCTCTGTTTATCTCCCTCTGCCCAACAATTGTGGGTGAGCACCCACTGTCTTAGTAACCAAAATTGTCTGATCTAGCTTGCCAGTAATGACTGGGATAAACAGCATTTTTGGGCTTGCCTAAAGTATGTTCAAGCCATAACAGCTAACACACAACATAACAGGCAAACACAAATAATGTCCATGTGGGTTCCAGGACCCCACTGTGGAGACAACAAAAACAGACTCACTGCCTCCACAACAAGCATGTCCTAGGAGTCGACTAACGGGACTTCTTTAAAGTCAGAGCGTATCTGCGGCAAAGCACAACCAACTGCACACAAATGTCAGTAAAAAGGATGCACATGCAAAAATCAGGTCCTGGCATGAAGCCAAAGTCCAAATGGATAAACAACCAGGACTTTCCACGACAGTTTACAGCCAGTGAACAAAGAAGAAGACACAGATAAACATTATATAAACAAATCTCTAGTTGGATAAACCTGACTTTCGCAGCGGCCGGGTGACAAACTCCTTGTGGTCCGGGTTCACTCCCGGGAGTAGGCAGAAAAGCCGTTTCTTCCAGATTAACGGTACCTTTAATGGAATCAAGGCCGAAGGGTTGCGATATCCATAGTACTGAGCCAAAGGGTTTACAACTCATGGTTTCTGGATATTTGAAATAAAAAAATAAAAAAAAACAAAAAAAAACGAATCTGACAGTTTACCTGGCCGAAAGTCATGACCCCATTGAGAGCAACAGTGAACTTCATCGATGACAATCCGAGCTAGATGTCCGACAGCATAGCATTTTTCTAGGCGGTTCATGAAACGCTTACTCTTGGCTAGTTTTTCTGGTGTTACGTACAAAATCCGGAGCTCTCCATTGGGCTTCACCATGTCATCCTGCAGGATTTGGATGTCAATTATAAATAACAAAAGCAGTAAAAACCCTACAAGTATGAAAAAACTGGAATAAGATAGAACAAGAATAATAAAGCAAACTCCTCCTTTTCCCTCTCCCTTCCTGAAAATATTTATACACACACACACACACACACACACACACACACACACACACCCAGGATGGGCCATATTGATGGGACATTTATATTTATATTACAGCGAGCAATAATTGTCCTGCATGGTGGTGGTGGTGGTGGTGTGAGGGCGTGACAATGGTGTTGTGATAGTGTGTATGTGTGAGGGTGTGATGGTGACTGTGTGAGAGTGTGATGGTGATTGTATGAGGGTGTTATATTGGTGGTGAGTGATCATGATGGTGTAATGGTTATGGTTTCAGGGTGCGTTAATGGTGGTGTAATGGTGGTGGTGTTATAGTGTGATTGTGTGTATGAGGGTGTGATAATGGTGGTGTAATAGTGGTGGTGTTATATTGTGATTGTATGAGGGTGTGATAATGGTGGTTTAATAGTGGTGGTGTTATAGTGAGATTGTGTGATAATGGTGGTGTAATGGTGGTGGTGTTATAGTGTGATAATGGTGGTGTTCTAGTGTGATAATGGTGGTGTAATGGTGGTGGTGTTAGAGTGTGATTGTGTGACAGTGTTATACTGTGAATGTGTGAGGTTGTGATGGTGATGGTTTAATGGTGGTGGTATTATTAGGGTGTGAGGGTGATGGTGTTACAGTGTGAGGGTGATGGTGTTACAGTGTGAGGGTGATGGTGTTACAGTGTGAGGGTGATGGTGTTACAGTGTGAGGGTGATGGTGTTACAGTGTGAGGGTGATGGTGTTACAGTGTGAGGGTGATGATGTTACAGTGTGAGGGTATGATCAAATTATAGTGTGATGGTGATGGTATAATGGTGGTGGTGCGGGGGTGTGATGGTGTCGGTGTCAGGGCTGATAGTGTAAGGGTGCTGGTGGCCTGCATGTTCGCAATCTGCAGTTTACAACACTCATTCAAATTGGGCACAGTCAAAAAGCAATCCAAATGAAACAGCAGCTCACAGTGTCACCCCATGCACTCAACTCAGTAGCTGGGCTAAGAAACTGTATCCTTTATATCCACATCTGGAGAAAAGTGCAACAGCTAACTATTGTCAGAAGCAAAAACTAGCCACGATCAAAAACAGTAAACCTGCTTATCCTCCATATTGACAGTAAGTCGGTCCATCGTTCTATCTGTGTTTTTAAGCAGGGGTAAGTCAAGGACCATTCTCATGCTATCAGTAAATCGGGAATATGGTGAGACCCCATTTTGTAGACTAACATGGATTTGAGAGTGATGTAATCAACATCAGGGTGGCCACCTTTACTTCCTGAAACATTTCCTGTATTAAATTAAGGCTGGGTTACCTGAAAGCCTAGATTAATTTTAAAAATTCAGCCTAATGTAATGTGAACTCAAGACCTTCTAACTAGCAGGTAAGAATCTAGCCCATTCCACTACAAGGGCTCCCACTCGTCTTCTTCTTCTGCCATTTATCCCTCGATGGAGTAAAGACCCTCAACAAACTCACACCGTTGTCCTACTCTCTGTTTTTGCAAGCAGCTCACCCGATGTCCTTCATATCTTTTTTTTTTCCAACTTCCCTCTCTAGGTCCCTTTTCCATGAGGTTTTTTTGGTCTGCTTTTATTTATGTGCCACTGCCGGGTCCACTGAAAGACATTCTAGTTATATCACTCTCACTGTACTCAACATGTGTCCTACCAAATGCCAACATCTTTTCTTCATCTTCTTCACCTCCTGATTCACTGGAATTTGTTTAGTTCTCTCCCAAAGCTCAATATTAGTGATTATACCATACCATTTAATCCCCCCCCCCCCCCCCCCCCCCCCCCCCCCCCCCCATTCTGCGTATGCACAAGCTAATGAATGTCTATATACTGTTAGTAGTTTTAGCTGTTTTCTGTGTTTCGGTTCCATACATCAGAACTGATTTGAAATCAGAATTAACAATTTTAAGTTCAGTAGTTTAGTATCAGTTTTAATTTCTTGACTTCCAAAAATTACCTAGTGCTATTAAAACTCCTCCTGCATTTTGAATTCATATTTTAACAGCTCTATCAGTTCCACCGTCTTTATCTCCTGCTTGTACTTTTACTGTATTTACACGCTGTTTTTGTAACTGCACAAACATTTAAACACCAATTACGACCGCCCTTACCTGTATGCGCATTAAGTCACCTTTACTAGTGGCAGCATTCAGCATGGCAGAGGGCACACCCAAGTGTTCCAGTGCCATTTGCTGATCTTCCATCAATGATACCAATGGGGATACAACAAGTGTAAGCCCTGGAATCAATCATTACAGCCACATAAACATGCAAACATGTGTTCACATTATTTCAACTTCTTTATTTGTCACTGCAGTTCTTTCTTCTTCTCCTTCTTTGAATTCACCGACTGTAAACTCTAGTGGAATGTTCTGGTTGTTCGTCCATCTCTGGATTGTAGTCTTGTTCCAAAACCTTGTATGCTGCGTGCAGATCCATTTTATAAATCTGGCTTCTCTGTATGCAGACTGTTGGTTACTAGCCTATAAGGCTGATGCACTCCGACTTTGAAGGACGTCGCCAATTAGTCTACCCCTACACGTCTGTTGGGGAGCTAGTGGGTCTATTCTTGTCTTTCCCACAGTGGAGCCCAAGAATCCACACAGGGATCATTGTAGTTCAATGATAGAGCTATCTATGCATGTGTCCTGTGTAAAAGAACAACCAGCTCTTTTCTCCATTGCCATTTCTTGGGCCAGACTCAGCCAGACAGAGGTAACCTGATCCTAAGGAGTGACCCGCCCAAGCAAACTGTAGCAAACAGGAAAGTCTGCAGAACACTCAAGCACTTCATCCTGTTTGTGATCAATGCTAAAGCAGATGAATAGCAAATGCTGATCACTAAAGAAGATGGTAAATCAGATCTCTATGTACGTGGTAACAGTCTATCTGTCTGAAGGTTAACCACCCCTAGGATTGCAAGACTCTCATCCCGGACGACAAAAAAACAAGGAAAACAACCAATACCCCATTCAACCTGCCAAAAAGTTGTAATAGTTTATCAGAATCTGAATTAAGATAACTTCTTCGCACTCACCCGCTGTAAACTATAGCAGAAATATCTGGTTGTTTGTCCACCTCCAGATTTTGGTCTTGTTCCAGAACTTGAATTTTGTGTGCACATCTGTTTTACAGATCTGGCTTATTTTTTATGCCAACCACTGATTTAATGCCTCTCAGGATGCACTCTGATTTGGAAGGAAATACCTCTTGTACCTTGTCGCCTTGTACCACACCCTGTACCTTGTCACCTTGTACCACACCTTGTACCTTGTCACCCTGTACCACACCTTGTACCACACCCTGTACCTTGTCGCTTGTACCACACCTTGTACCTTGTCACCTTATACCTGACACATGTTAGCAAGGAGGTGACCTCAACCTACAATTGGGGCCATGGAACACACAGAGAGAACCATCATCATCATGTAGCAGGTCCTTTGCAGAACGTCGCTCTCATCCGCCTGAAAGAAACTCAGTCTCTCACCAGCTCTCCTGCCTCGTGTACCTTCATATTCTAAGTGTCACTTATATCCTGTGCCTATCTTCATTTTGGTCGGCCCCTGCCCCTCCTTCCTGGTACCATGCCTTCTGCTATTATTTTTTTAAATCCGCCATGGCGCTTCATATGACTAAAATATTTTGGCTTCCAAGACAAGATGCTGTTTATTAGCCAATCTTCCTTGATGCTCAGATCTGTTAAAATATCAATATTTCTTCTCTTCTTTGTCCATGTTTTTCTGAGAAACATTCTACAGCATTTCAGCTCAAATGCCCGTATTTTTCTTTATTAAGGACTTGCAGGGAACATTGGGATATCATAAGCCTCAAATTAACTTCAGTTTCTATTAGAATCATAAATAGTTACACACACAAAAAAAAAACACATTGATGACCATCAAGTTATTAAGCTGCTAAACTCAACACTTCCTCTGAATGTTGAATGCTGAATTAAGAATCGACATCCCAGCACTCTGGACACCGCCATAAGCGTCACGTCCTCATCTTCAGCAGCAAGCCAAAAGTTAAAATTTGGAAACTGAAACAGCTAGGGTACCTTTATCCACCAAGGCTGGCAGCTGAAAACACAAGCTTTTGCCTCCCCCTGTTGGCATGATCAGCAAGCAGTCCTGTTTAGAGAGGGTTGCATTCATTGTCTGTCTCTGCATGGGTCGTAGGCTGTTCAGTTTGAAGACACTTCTTAAAATCTTCTCCAGCGCTGGAGTCCATGGGAAATCTGCAACAGTAAAAATTGTCTTTAATGTTACTTGCTTAATTTGTCCACTTACTCTTAGTCGAGATTCCAACTTCCTTGCAAACTGGGCCACACCATACTTGCTTCGCTTCCATGCTAGTGAAAATCAAATTAAATGTCCCTCACTGTCTCATTAAAAAAAAAACTGGTTAACAAAACAATTAGTCCCAACACAGTCCAGAATTACTCAGTAAATGCATATGGCAGTTGCTAGAGGTGCCAAAGCCAACAGCTGCCACCAGAAGTGTAGTTTATCCTTGCTGGAAGTAGTTAAACACGATGTTGGCTATACACATGTAAAATTATGACATTGGGTATTTCACCAGCCCACATGTATAAACTGGCTACAGTGAATACCAGGACTCAAATGCTGCACAAATCAAGGGCATTCCATATGAAAAACAGCGCACAGTGCCTCATTAAGCTTTCAACTCAGTAACTCAGGTAGTGAGACTGTAATCTTCTGTCCATATATGGAAAGTGCATTAGCAAAGTGCTGTAGGAAGCAAAAAAATAACTTCTAAGTTAAACATTCTGCTATGCCTAGTGCTCCAGAACTGTAGCCTGAATGACTAACATCCAGTGACTTAAAGAGCAATTATTAAGATGTGAATCTAACAGGAACAAATCTAAGAAACTCTACTAAGAACTCACATGAAAAATTCAAAACAAACATGTCATTAACTCACTTGGTAACACATAACTCATAATGAGTAAACTGATCATACTGTAAACAATACACTTTACGGTATCCTATCCAGTAGTTATATAAAATCTTCCAGTTCGTATCACCAACAGATCCATGCGAGAATCTGTCTAGTTCTGCTATATTGCAAATACATCAGCTCTTGGCACAGACATTCTAATATTATTTCATTTGGTAGGAAAATGAATATGTTTTTAAAAACTCAATTTAGAGAAAGGAAATATTATCATTTTCTAAATGCGGTGAGGAGGTAGGTTTAAATTTCTATTTGATTTTAATTAAATCAGTGTGATACAATTTTTGTGTGATTTTCCAGATAAGGGGAAAAGTCTAGAACTGTTTGTTCTGCTGCTGTCACTAAGTAAGGTGACAAGTCTCGACATTATGGGTAATTATACAAAACCTATTGCTGATAATATGAGTTAGGATTAAATTGAACAGAGTATTTCAACTGGAACGTCCCTGTTTTTATCAGCTGTGTCCGGAATTCAGCTGTTTGAAATTTGAAAAGTCATACAAAAAATGGCCAATGAATTTAGATTAACTGTCTCAAATAAAGACTAGCTGATGCATAACTGAATAGAGAAGGCATGACAATTCTTAGAAATGAATAGTAGTGTTTCTGATCAGTTTTTTTATTTTCCATTTCCATTTCAAGTAACAATATCCCCTTGGGGATTCCGGGGCTATAGTACAGGGAAAACAAGAATAGACCCACTGCCTTGTCAAAAGCATGTTGTAAGAGTCGACTAATTGGGTGCTTCCTTCAAAGTCTGAGTGCATCTGCACAAGAGGCAGATCTGTCAAAAAGATGCACATGCAACACTCAGGTTCTGAAACAGGACCGCAGTCCAGAAGTGGACGAACAAGAAGAACTTTCCGCTGGAGTTTACAGCCGGTGAATGCAAAGAAGAAAAAGAAAAAGTAACAATAAATCTATTTGCTGCTAACAGAGTTAAACAGTCCATGAACTTTACCTGTCCCATCCCATGCCTTGCTGTTTTGCTGCTCTTTGCAGTCTTCCTGCTGACTCAATATAGCTTTCAATTCAGCAATTTTGTCCAGCAAAACATTCCTTCTCTCCTGCAGGTCTTGCAGCTCAATTTCAACAACTGCCAGCTCACTTTCTGTAGTTTCCAGTTCCTGCTCATAGTCTGCAATGAATAGGTCACTGAGATTTCAGTTTTTAAAAAAATGTCTATAAAATATGAACCAACTTATGCAAACTGATTACATAATTATATAGCAAAACAAACCACACACAAATTATTTATAATTACAGGGACCTAGAGGCAGTAAGAAAGTTGGAGATGAAGAGAGGCAGAGGGAGACCAAGAGGAAAGATGCTTTACAGTCTGACATCATGACATGGAGGATCATCTGTATCAGAGGTGATTGAAAGTACATGAGACAGAAGGTTGTGGACAGACATGACTACTAATCCCATACGGAATGGACTTGAAGAAAAAGATAAGACTCATGTACGGTGTGGCACTATTGAATTTCAATTTGTCCTCTCTGTCTTTAACTTTTATAATGTTTGGAAAATGAAAGACATGTTATCAAACTAACTAGCAATAATATAACCAATGTAGAGCTTTGGGAGAGAACTGAACAACTTCAGGTTAATGAAGAGGCTAGGAAAAGATGATGGTACTGGATAGGATACACACTGAGAAAGACTGACAACAATATAGAGGAGTTTCAAGAACCGCCATCACATCACATGAGATATTCCCATAAGCGCTCCATCCACATATTCAGCAGCCTGCGCAGTTTCCTTTACAATAATAACCCTATCAGTCTGACTGTATGTTTGTTACTACTGAGTATCCCCGCTGCACTATTATCTTCAAACAGATCTATTTTTGCACTGTTCACTCTCTCCCAAAGGACTCCCAAAACATCTACCATGTTATGCATCAATCTACCAGCCAGTCTGTCTGTATGTTCATGTTCTAACAAACCTGCATATCCTGTAGAAAATATTCAAAGGAGACTAATTACACAGGACCTCTAAAATGAGGCTTGCCACTCAGCAGGCAGCAAACCTGTCTCCACCTTTAGTAGCATGCTCTGTGACTCAGTTACAATCAGGACATGTGTGTGTGTGTGTGTGTATGTGTGTGTGTGTGTGCAGCTGGTTCCCAAACTCCCCACCTCCACTCACAACCCAGACATTCTGATACTATGCCAGGCTCTGTACGTCAGTTACAATCAGGACATGTGTGTGTGTGTGTGTGTGTGTGTGTATGTGTGTGTGTGTGCAGCTGGTTCCCAAACTCCCCACCTCCACTCACAACCCAGACATTCTGATACTATGCCAGGCTCTGTAAGTCAGTTACAATCAGGACATGTGTGTGTGTGTGTGTGTGTATGTGTGTGTGTGTGTGTGTGTGTGTGCAGCTGGTTCCCAAACTCCCCACCTCCACTCACAACCCAGACATTCTGATACTATGCCAGGCTCTGTAAGTCAGTTACAATCAGGACATGTGTGTGTGTGTGTGTGTGTGCAGCTGGTTCCTAAACTCCCCACCTCCACTCACAACCCAGACATTCTGATACTATGCCAGGCTCTGTAAGTCAGTTACAATCAGGACATGTGTGTGTGTGTGTGTGTGTGTGTGTGTGTGTGCAGCTGGTTCCTAAACTCCCCACCTCCACTCACAACCCAGACATTCTGATACTATGCCAGGCTCTGTAAGTCAGTTACAATCAGGACATGTGTGTGTGTGTGTGTGTGTGTGTGTGTGTGTGTGTGTGTGCAGCTGGTTCCCAAGCCCCCCACCTCCACTCTCAAGCCAGACATTCTGATACTATGCCAGGCTCTGCTGCTCACGCGGTGTGGATTGGGGCTAAACCAGATGGCCGGGACTCATGAGCAAAAAAAATGAAGGAAGCTGCAGGAGATGCGGTAGCTGCTACTCGTGAGTCCCAACCATCTAGTTTAGCACCAATCCACACCGCGTGAGCGGCGTGGGTGATAATCTCGGTGGTGGCGTAAGTCGCCGGAAGTGCGCAATTTAAGTCGCCAGAAGTGCGCAATTGACATGTGACTGAGGCCTTGTTAGGGTATATTTTTGGCCTCGATAATTTGGGACCGTTATTTGGGGGAATAGCCAAAAAATTAAATAACAATATAATTAGAATGCACGTAGTCAAAGGAATAAAAGCAGACCACAAAAGCACATGGATATTTCCAATAAGGAAGCTAACTAGAGAGTCAAGTGACAATAATAAGTGGATCTGCAGTGTAGTGCTCGCAAATAATAGCAAAGGATATGAAGATATGGAGCTGGATGAGGGAATAAGAGGTAGACAAATACAAGACAGAACACTCATAAAAGCCTTACTGCAACAACAACAAAAAAAGTGAAGTAAAGGAAAGCCAGCAATAGGCCTACACAAGTGGAAAGGGTGGGAGGGGTAAGCGGGGGGATAGGGGGGTAGATATAGAAAAATGGAATAAAGTAGCAAATAGTAGTACAGCGGACTAGAAGCCCATGGGTAAAATCTGGCACCGCAGAGCCGAGCAAGTGGCCCATGGATCATTGCCAAAACAGTGATCTTTCCAACTGCACTGAGACTTAGGCCTGTGGCTCCGAGACGTTCCCTACGATTTTCAATATTGTGGGGCCCCTTAGTGAACTTAGATGAACAGCCCTTGCGTTGGCAGAGGTGAGTAGTAGAGTGTACTGTTCAGAAGTGTTCCGCCACAGTGAGGGACAGATTATTATTGATTATAAGATACAAAGATGCAGACAGCAGGGAATGGAGAGTGAGAAGCAACAATGAAATTCAAAATCTCTTTAAATCACCATTGATCACTGGCATCATGAGAGCTAATGCTAAAATGGTTGGGGCATACATTGAGAGAATGTTGAATAACAGGAGTAAAAAACTGTATACGGAAGGAAGAAGAATGGTCTTAAACCACAAGGCAGACCAAGAAGAATATGGAGAGATAATGTCCAGGCAGACCTGCAAACACTAGGTGTCACCAACTGGAACGAGAAGGCCAACCAGAGAGATGAATATTGAATGGACGTGGGTGATATCTGCAGCAATAAACCTCAAGGGCTCGGAATGCTGACGATGAAGTGATCCACTGCAACATTTACTGTGGAGACGACACCTGACTTATTAATGAACTGAACTGAATTTCTACCCCACCAGGACATCACACAAGCGATAAACACCCGATGACACAAAGTGCCACCATGTGGATGAGGATCGCCGTGGAGAGGTCCCAGAAACCGCGTTCAGACATTTGGCCATATTTATGGCCTGCCTATATTGCGGCCCCTGGCAAAAGCCAGAGTAGGGCTTCAAATGACAAAAAATTTCGTCCTAAAAAGGACGAAATTGGATATAATTAGACTTATTAATGTTATTATAATACTTATACTAACTCAAAAGCCTTACTTAAAACTCATTTTCAGACACTGACTAATTGGGAACTGTCGCCCATCCGTTAGTCTTATATCTTCTTAAGTCGGCTAGCAAAGCAGAAGAAGTCTGAGACTTAGTCTCACTGTCTCACCGCAGCAGATTCACTGTCTCAACTACTCTCAACACTCAACTCTCTTAACAACTGTCTGGTTGAAATAATTTGTGGTTCTTGCCCCAGTGTCGGGTGGACAGTTTTCATTTAAATGAGAAAATAAACATGACCCCATTTTTACCTGTCATTTCACAACTAACTGTCTGCAACGCGTGTATATTAAATTATTATAGAGCCCTGGGTAAATTGCTGTAGTGTAGTTCAAACAGAAACAACAACATTAAATGGGTACCACCATTACAATTTTAAAAACTAGCGAAATAATGATGCAAATAGTTCCTACGAAACAAAATTTAAAAAATTTTCTGAATAATAAATTAGCGTTCCGTTCACGTCACAAGCCTTCTTTGAATGTTTTTACTATTAAAATTCCTGCCTTTGCTTTAGGTTCCTTCGCTGACATCTAGGACCCCAATATAACCTTACGATTTAACGGGGCATACCTGACACTTTCTAAAGCCCATATACGCAAAATCACCATCTGCGAGATGAGGTGCCTGAGAAAAGCAGCCAACAAAACCATCCGAGATCGAATGAATAATTAAACTATCAGGCACATTGTGGGAACGACACCCTGTTCTAGATTCATCGAGAAACAGCAGATCAAGTGGTTTCGCCATCTCGTTAGAATGCAGCAAGATCAAATACCATCAAAAGCAATACATCTCAGAAGATCAGCTACAAGTGTAAGAGGACGCCGCGGAAATAATGGATCGACAACATTAAAGACACTCTACGCCTTCACGGCAAACAATAGCCAGTGGCAGCCAACGTGCACAAGATCGCAAATTATTCCTCCCCACGCCGCTTAACGTTTATGCAATAATCCACGTCCTCTATAAATACTCAGCTATGAGATACTGTCGGTGGTACTGCTCACACAGCGAAGAGAAACTATGATAACCAGGTGGGTTTCAGACAGTACAGATCAACAACAGATAGTGTATATTCATAGCAGAGCAAAACTGGGAACACAGAAGAGATATGCATAAGGTTTTTGTAAATTAGAAAAATGCATATGTTAGTGTATCCCAAAACAGTTTATGGAAATCTATGAAGGACTTTGGAATACCATAGAAGTTAATCATCATGGCCAAACTATGCTTATGTTTGTTCTACTTCTAACTCAAGCCCGAGTGAATAATCGCAGCACAGTACACGAACTCTGTTGCACCGGCGAGGATCCTGAAATGCTTTGGGTAGAATTTTAACTCTAAATTTTTCCCGGGCAACGCTGTTATGCTACTCTTTTCGATTTCCAACTGACAGGGAATTTTTTTAAAAACGTGCTCAAGAATACACACGGGCGTCCGATGACTACACAGAGACCAGGGGATATGACTAGAAGTCCACGTGAAAAAAATCACAGCCTTTACCGGGGCTTGAACCTGAGACCTCTAGCCCTCGAGGCAGACTCTATGCCTCTTGACCACACAGCGCCTGACCAAACTATGTATAAAAGACAATTACAATATAGTAAATAATATGGCAGAAAGTCATACCCTATTTAAACAACATCTGGTTTAAAACAAGGTGATACTCTCTTCCCATCTGTTTTTATCTTGGCCCTAGAGAAAATTATAAAGAATTTAAAAGAAGACAGTACTATAGAAAAACTACAAGAATACTTGGTTATGCAAATGACATTGATAAGGTTGAAAAAAAAAGAACTAGAAAGTAAAAGCAATTGCTTTTTGAAAGGGAGCAGCTAAAATAAGATGGGACTAGTTGTCAAACAAGAAAAGACAGAATACATAATAATAAAACGACAAAGAAAAGATAATAACTCCAGCCACATAGCCGGTAACATACAAATCAAGCGAACGGAAACATAAAAGTACTTGGGTGCAAGCTTTAATTGCTCCAACATACTAAGAGAAGAAATGCAATATAGAATAAAATCTGGAAATAAAGTAAACTATACTCAACAACGCGGCGTCCGTGGCTTAGGCGTTGCGAGTCTCACTCGTAATTCCTAAGTACCGCTATCGAAACTCACTGCTCGTCTGCGTAGATTTTTATCGTGGTATGGAGCGTCGCAGGTCGATCCATCCTAAATTGGGATGTAGCCTATGTCCTATGGAAGTAAAGACGGCTGGCGTAATGCTGACCACATTACCCACCTAGTGCCGATTCGTCTGTAAAAATATGAGTGCTTTTCCCATATTCCCGATGCGCCTAAAAGGCGTGAAAAGGGATCTTTACTTCATTACTATATACCCAACAACAGGGCTATTCAACCGGCAGCCAAGGGGCCACGTCTGGCCCACGAAGGCTTTGCTAGTGGCCCGCTGATCATAGACAATTGTATGGTTTTAATGACCTTTCCATGCTGGATCTCGGGTTTCTGGCGCTGACGATCCCTGTTTTGAAGATTTTGTCTCCTGCGTAAAATTTGTTGAATAGCTCTGCTCTACAGTTAGTCGGTTAGTCAGTCAGTAGCCTGTCCTTTGCAGAACCTTGCTCCCATAATACTTACTTTTTACTTTTTCCTTCCACGTATGCCGCTAAGCGTTGTGGGGAGATGCAAGTTCCTGTCATAAGCAAGGCGGGCAGCATCTGATGTTCTGAGGCCATGCTTTTGGCAGGTTTCGGAGACCCCGTCAATCCACAGTTTCCTTGGTCTTCCTCTTGCCTTATATCCTGAGCTTCTTTGGTTGAAAATTTGTGATGTTATTTGATCATTTTTCATCCTGGTTAGATGTCCAAACCATTTCATTCTTTGATGTTCTATGTAGTCTAAACATGGTGTAGTTTTGACAGTGTTTCTAATGTCTATATTCTTTATCCTGTCTAGTCTGGTCTTGTTCGCTGCTTTTCTTAGACATTTCATTTCACAGGCTTCTATTTTTCTTTCATGGGTCTTGTTGATTGTCCATGTTTGGCACTGGTAGCAGAGTGTTGGAATGAAGATGGTGTTTATCAATTGTCTTTTGGTCTTCATGGTTATATCTGGATGTTTAAGCAGAGGTGATAGTTGGTATGTGACAGCATTTGCTTTCTGTATTCTTGTTTCTATCTCTCTGTCCGTTTATTTATCTCCTTTTTAATTTTCGTAGCAATAAAAAATCCACTGCCGGCTTGCTAGGCCAGTCGCAGTTTAAGGGAAAATCTGACCAGATGGACCCCATCCCATCTGGCGAGCCAGAGCCTCGTTCGCCTATGGCCTCACGGCCACAGTTTCCCGGTCTGCACCACTGGGAGGAGAGGTTGACTTATGTGTACTGTGGGTCATCGGCAGGCTACTAATTTTCACTTTTCACCTCTCCTAAGAGAAGCTAGCCGACCCCAACCCTGCTGGATGCAGAGCCAGGCACAGTCCACACCTTGCAGACCGCTCCCATAATAACTTCCGCAAAACTTCTCGATCACAAGCAAGATGCCCCACGTCCGTTACACCCATCTGCCACATCCTGCATTTATCTTCTCTTTGGCCTACAACATCTGATAAAATCAAATTCTCTGTCTCGAAACCCTAGATCTAAGCATATAAAACAATGATGAGACCAGTTGTTTGATATGCTCTGTAAGTTGGAGCACAACCAAAGAAAATGCAACCTTATTAAATATGTTGGAAAACAGTCTGAGAAAAAAACTTTGGACACATCAGAGATGCAAATATCGGCAAAGGAAAAATGAGAAGCAACAAAACAAATTCATTATCTGTTTAAATCATCACTGAAAATGGCTGGGCATATTGAGAGAATGTCAGTTGACAGAAAGATAAAAACTGTACACAGGGGAGTTAAATCGTAGATCAATAGACAGACCGTGAAAACATTGGAGAGATAGTATACAGGCAGACATGCAAGCACTTGGAGTCACCAACTGAAAAGAGAGAACTAATCACAAAGATTCATGGAGGCGGGTATATCTGCAATTCTGCCATACCGTTACACCACTCTCTACATTCTCTTCCTAAAGTGATAATGACCTGATGGAAACTGCTATTGGGGGTGTTTGTGTCAATCCATTCCTGCCCATGTGAATTTACTTGACTGAGGCCGCCGTCTCGATGGTATCTTCAGCTAGTACCATCCAACTTTCCTCCTTTTAACCGGTCTTTTCTTAAATCGTTCAAATTACCATGCAGCGGGTGCCTTTCATCATTGGTAACTCGCACATAGGCCTTGGCTTGCGCCAGTGACAGATTAAACTTTACCGATGCCAGCCCGAGCAAATACCTCATTGTTCTATTTAGGATGTCTCGTGTGCAATCCAAGAAGATTCTCATTCCTTCATTTTGAATTCTTTCAAGCTTTGTACGCTGTGAAGCAGATAGGGTTAATATTTCTATGCCATAATCGATTACAGAAAGGATTAAATGATTGAACAATAAATAAGATCAACCATCTCCGTTCCATGTGTGTGGCCACCATCGTCTTCAGTGCCGCCAGGCCACGCTTGCATTCGATCACAGTCTGCTCCACGTGATATCTGTAGGTCAGACTGCGATCAAATGTCGAACCTCAGTATTTCCATTTATCTCTTCTTTCAACACTAAAACCCTTCTTGGATCTGTTGGGCAAGTCTTCCTTCCCAATTCTGTTATTTAAAGAGCACCACAAAACACTGGCCTTCCCTGGGTTTACCCTTGACCCTGTCTGTTCACACCCCTTCGTCATGCAAAGCACTTAGCAAGTCTCTGGTCATGTCGTGCCGGTCTGACCCGCTTCGATACACTAGAACATCATCTGCAAATGTCAAAGTTCACCCTGGTCCAGGGGGCTGAATTTTTGCCAGACTTGCTGTATGTTAAATAAGACAGGTGACAATAGTGATCCCCAGGGAAGGCATGGGCAAATGCGTATTAGATCTGATCTCCATGTTCCTAAAGAAAATAGCACTGTTCGTTCCAACAGTGCTGCCCCCATCCAATTAACTAACCAAGGGTTCACACCAAAGTCCATTACGCACTGCGTAAGATATGTGAAGTCAACGCGGCTATAGGCATCTTCAAGATCTATCGCGACAGCGACTGTTTCTTGCTTTCGCTGAAATCCTTCAGACACATCAGATATATATATATATATATATATATATATATATATATATATATATATATATATATATATATATATATATAGACAGAGAGAGAGAGAGAGAGAGAGAGAGAGGGGGGGGGGGC